AACTAAATACGCCGGAGGCCTGGCTTAAGCATGCCACTTGCTCGTCTGAATACAAGTGTTTGTTGCGTGAGCGTAAGCACACATTCTTGCACTACACCCTACCGTCTGTGTTACTAAACAACCCTCGTCAGTTTTGGACCATTGTTAATAATAAACCATCCCTAGACATTAAGCGCGTGAGTAGTTCTGGTTATCAAATATTGAATAGTGAATGTGCCGATATTCTTAACACTGTATTTTCCGACGCGTTCGCTGTATCTACACTCATCGTTCAGACACCCCTCGTTCCATGAATAAATGTTTTCCTAATGGATAATATTTTTATAGACTTTGACGGTTCGCTAAGCATTATAGAATCCCTTAAAATGTCCTCTTCAAATGTATAGATGATATCAGCACCAAACTTCTAACAAACACCAAAATGTCATCAGCGTTTTTTTTAGTTTTCTACTAAAATGTTTCAGCAGTCTCTGGAGAATGGTGTGGTACCCTCTGATTGGAAAATATGAAAGTTCATTCCAGCCCTCAAATCTGGAGGCAAAACGTCTCCACTCGACTACAGACCAATCTCACTTACCTGCATTTCCTGTATAATTCTCGAGCACGGCATCTACAAGCCTCTTATCAGTTTCCTGGATCCTTGCCATTACTTCAACCACGCACAGCACGGCTTCCGCAAGCAACTTTCATATGAGAGCCAGGTGCTGTTTCTTAGTAACGACCTTTCTCAAAATCTCGACTCCGGCTTTCCTACTAATGCTGTCTACCTTGATTTCGCCAAGGTTTTCGACAAGGTCCCTCACAATCGCCTTCTTTTCAAAGAAGGCGATTGTTGTTTGAAGACCGATGACTTCGCTGCTTTTCCATTGGAGCTAAGACTTTTTCTTTCTTTACTTTTTCCTCAAGTCAGCTCGCTTTTTGCAAATTTTACAAAAAAACTGCACCATCTGTGGGCAACGCTGCACAAAGTCGTAGCGCGGTAGGTTAAGAAACCGAATTTTCCGGTCGATTTAAAGAGTCTTGCCTCTCCTTGAATCACCCTGTATATTAATGACCTTCCACTTCAACTTTCTTCTTCAATTCGTCTTTTTGCGATGACTGCGTTATATATAGTCTAAGGAAATCTCCCGACGACAACCTGCTACTCCAGAGCGACATTAACAAAATTGTCGACTCGTGCCGTACTTGGAAAGTGTCCCTAGATATTAATAGATACATGCATGTATGTTTCAGGCGCTCGTCCTATGCCCACGTAGCAACATTAGCACTAAATGACACCGTCGCCCAGACCACTGCCGAATATAAATTTCTTGGTGTTTATTTAACGAATAATTTATCCTGGAATATTTATGTTGATAATACCATATCCTCAGCTATTCCCTCTCTTGGTTATATTTGGCGTAATTTCAAGTGAGCTCCTTTTAACCTTAAAGGACTTTTCTATGTTACTCTTGTTCGCCCTAAACTGAAATATGCCTCATCTATCTGGCATCACCACCTTTCATTTCTCACCAATGTAACAGAAGTTGTCCAAAATCGCGCAGCTCGTTTCATTCTTTCCGATTACTTCTGTTTTCCCAGAGTCATTAAAATGAAATCGGAATTAACCCTCCCTAACCTTTCTCTGCGGCGTAAAATTTCCAGGCTTTGCCTCCCGCATAATTTACCTCTTTAAATCAGTCTCTCCTTAGCCCACCCAACTATGTTTCTTCAACACTGAACCACACATGAAAGACTGCCCGACCCAAGATCAAATCTACAGCCCACCAGCATTCACTTCTACTCGAAACTATTGTGGACCGGAATGGCCTTCCCCATAACATCGTGACCATCACAGGTAACACCAAGTTTCGCATCGCCTTAAGCCACCGCTCTCCTCTGTAATGCCCCTCGGGGCCCTGATGGTATTTGTAAATAAATAAATAAATAAATATAAATAAATATTGAAAGACTTTCTTATTTCATCGAACCGGGACCTCCGTACACTTAGTTTTGCTCTGTCAAGGGCAAGATTTTTAAAAATTTGTTTCATTGTAATGCAAACCACTTCCGAAGACTGAAAGTCAGCAGAAATAGAAACACATATACGTAGGCAGACCAAAAATAAAGGATTGCAACGCACTCTACGCTTACTTGGATTAAATTGATTCAACACAGTTTGATTGGTCTTATAGAGGACTGGTCGATTGAACGATTAACCCACCGATTTATAAAATAATGCCTTAATCATAATTAGTTGTTTTAACCGGTTCATCGGTAATATGTTTCAGGTGCGATAACAGAGTGCATATGACGCGCCTCCACAACAACGGCAAGTACACCTGTAAGAAGGGCAAACGTTGGGTCAAAAATTATCAAGTAAACTGTAGCGGCGAGATTGGTAACTCGATCTGACAAGTGCAGGAGGTTTCTAGTGCCTTCAGCAACGTTCGAGTGTCCGTTTCGAGCAGCAGAGACTATTGTGAAGAATCAAGGGAGGTCTATCTTGCCGAAAACTATCAGCGAACCTGGTTGCATTATGCAGCTAAAGTAATATTCTGTGAGTGGGCGTGCTTTGAACTGTTATTACATTCACTTCGATGTTGATTCTTAATCAAGCTGGTATAGCGCGCCACTTATAGGATATTCAGCAAATATATATATATATATATATATATATTGTGAACGGAGAGGAGAGAAGGTGATTAGTGAATTTATGGCGCTGAAGTTAGGGAAAAAGAAAGGGGAAGAGAGCTGGCAAAACATTGGGCCAGGAGCGGGGATTGAACTTCTCTTGGCCTGTCCGGGGCCCGCCACTGGTTTTGGCGGACGCAATCTTTGACCAGCTCTCTGTGTATTGTTACGTTTGAATTCGCTGAACTGGGCATATCTATATATATATATATATATGCGTGTTTTTAGATATTGTGCACATCAGTGAATGATATCGGTTAATCGATAAATTAATCGATCAAGAGATGTCCAGTTGAAACCGTTATTCGACAGCTAGCCTTGGGCTCATCTACTGGTTGAATAGGCTACTCAAGATAAATTAGATGTACAATTAGGGCAGCAAAGCTACGATTGGATGAAGCGTGATAACTGAAATGCGTTCCTCACTACACATTTTTGATGCGGTGTAATGATATGAAACAAAGTCCGTATTATTCTGTTGCATATGTCAAATATTGTGAATATTTTATTTTCATACATAAGTGTTTTTCTATTTTTGTACCGTGCCTTCATGTCTTTGATCATGTTAGTGCCATGCGCTGTGTTTTAGATTCAATATATAAACGTGAAATTAATTAAGATTTTATAACTTAATTCAAATATTTTCGTTTCTGTACGTTGGATTTTTAAGGATTGCGGGAAATCGCTAATCGTTCAGGAGAAAGCAAACTCTGCCACTCAGTTTCAGGTTGGCCATTTAGTACGGGTTTACAACTGGAACTATTTTGTACGGAACAATTTTGTCAGGGGTAAGGTTGTCCAGGACCATTCTAGACGTGAGCATTTTAGCTGGATCCCCCTCGTTTGGCCCACAACTTTCCGTTCATAATTTTAGCTGCGTACCAACGAACCGGAATGATTCACACATTTTTATTTTAGTGTGACTAAGTGCGCTGTGCTTGCTGCAGCCGATTACAACTGAAGAACCCATCGGCACTCTGGCGTTGTCTATCAGGTCCCCTTGGAACACTTCGAATCATGTTGAGAAAGCTTCTCAGTATTTGCGAGATCAACGCTGCGTAGTCTTGATAAAGAATGGTCGCTTATAACGTCGTCGGAATTATTTCAAGCCCTGATTAAATTAATGGTAATCAAAAAAAGAAAAAGTTGGCAGCGACCTGTGAACTAAAAGTCCTTTAATGCATAAAATGCATTATATGTAATTCGTGAGAGAATCGGTGTATCATGTGACGTATGTTTTTACGCTAAATTTAGCGGGAAAACTGAAAAATGTTATAGGTCGCGTGATGTCAGGTAACGTCACATCGATTTCTGCCGCTAAACTTATCCGGGACACTGGATTGGCGTCAAGGTCACAAGAAATTCATTTTTCCGCTAAATTTAGCGGGTTACTGAATTTGTGGTTAGGTCACATGACGTCAATTTATCGCTAAATTTAGCTGGCAAACTAAATCGATGTTTTAATCAGAAGACGTTAATTATCCCGCTACATTTAACGGGAAAACTGAGTTGACGTGTTGGTGACGTTCCTTCAATTTCCACAAGGTGCATAGGTCAAGTGACGCCGACGTCACGTGATGCCACTTTGCCGCCAAATTTAGCAGAGAAACTGAATTGGTGTTTAAGTTACGTGACGTCAATTTTCCCGCAAAATTTAGAGGGGGAAATTGAAATGGTGTGTATATCATGTGACGTCAATTCACGTGACATAAATGTTTCTGCTAAATTTAACAGAAACTGAATTCGCTTATAGGTCTCGTGTCATCAATACACACCAGGTCTCGTAATATCACTTTCCCACTAAATTTAGTCGGAAAATATATGTCAAGTGACCTTACGCCACGGGATATGGAGACCAATTCAATTTTCCCGACAAATTTATTGGGGACTGCACGGTCGGACGGACTAACGAACGGAAAAGAAATGGAAATTGAGGGTAGCGTAAGAAAACATATGCTTAAAAAAAAAAAGCAGACGCAGGTTGAAACCGTTTTTAAGACTACCTGGTAGATGGCACCAGCGTGCCAGCGGTCTTTCGTCACTAGCGGTTACAAGCGAGCACAGCGCACTCGATCACACTCCAGCGCAAATATGTGAGCAAGCCTTCAGGAAGGGAGTGCTCAAACCTCTCAATTTTATCGGCTGTGTAGTAGCTGCGCAAAGACACGTGCGATTAACCAGAGTTTGTCTCCACCGCATCTGAAGCAGGCATTGTTCCTTAGGCTTTTTAGTCCCGAATTCGCCTCGAGCATCAACTATTGATTTAATTGTTTCCCATTAACTTTTCCTGTCTTATTCATAATTTTATGGCTAAATTGCTCGGTAACTCGTGATGATGAATCGCATCTTTTCAGCATTAGATCTCTGAAAAGTACGAAGGGGGCATGATTGTATGTACAATATAATATGCGCATTTTGTGCGAGGAAATCACTACTTCTGTTTTTTTTTTAAATTATCACGTCACATTAACCTTTTGTTCCATTAATCAGCTTTATTAATTTTGAGTAAAGTTACAGAGTGTTTTTATGTTAGTGTTTGGCATTTTTTCATCGACGAAACGTAGTTCATTCGGATTAATAACAGTTTCCCCGTCAAACGTTTCCTAATAAATGTTGCTACTCTCTGGCTTCCTACTGCACCGCTGAGCACTCCCAAGCAATGCAGATCTGAAAAAAAAAATACATTCCCGTAATTATTAACAATCCATTCAAACCAGAAAGCCGAATACGAGAACTACACGGCATAATGTTAAAGCGAGCAAAAAAGTCATCGTCGTTTTAATAATCATGCCTTCATGTGGCCAAGAAACTCTCAAAACCTTTAATGTGACACATCCTCGTCAGGTTAACGATTCTTGGATGCTATGTCATGTTTTTAGGTGCAGTCATGCGTACCTTTTCACTTCCACATGGAGTGCCGTCTGGCACTTCGTAACGAAGACCAGAAGCATTTGTAGTATTGTTCCTGCAACATCCCATCCAACATTTAGTCAGGTCCTCAATGTTGTAAGGATGACCTTCCTGTAATGAAGAACAATGAGATACATATTCACATCATTCAACAAAGAATGTTTTAAATATTTTCTTCTGTCATGATTATTTACTTACGGGGCATTTGTGAACTGCTATATTGTTACGAGTAGCACAGTAGTTTTCCTTTTTAAAGTAGTCCGCTGGAAGTCTTCTAACAGAAGACGAACCAAGATTTTTAAATTTCTTCCAACACACGTCTTTTTTCCTAAAGGATTAGAACACATACAATTAAATCTTTTATAAACTTCCACTCTATTTAAGCAGTCAAGTAGGCTGTTTTTCATCAAAAATACCGCCGAGATACCGCATCAAAATGGCGGATATAATTGTAAAAGCTTGCATATACCGTCCGGTCAATATACTGCACCAACGATAGAAGCGCCGTTTCATGCGAACTACCCGCCGCAGTCACTAGGCCGTATCTCGAGTGCAAACGTCCAGGTCTCCTGCTGGACTGCGACAAAGCGCTTTTGTTGAATCATTTGCTTGTCTGTACCATGACATACTGTAATCCTCATAAGCCCACAGAAGAGAGTGCCAGCGCGCGCCTAGTAGTAGAGACCGCGATCGCATTGTTTAGTCCCGCTATGACGGAGCGTCGCTACGCGAAGGTTTCTTTGCTTCGGAGGATATTCACATATCAATCGAAGGTACGCAGGGCGCGCATACGTATGAAAAACGTGCGAGCGATTCATCCAAGCTGCGCGGCACGATATCTGGTCCTGCTTCTGCGCGAAATTTGATCTTGGTGCGAGATCTCGTCAGTGGACGTGAGGCAGATTTCGTGGCTAGGCGCCTGCTGCCGGCATAGCTTGTGCCATGCGACCCGCGAACACGATCTTTTTTATATGTTGTCATCTCCAGGATTGTGTGGTTTCAAAGAAGTTGGGTCCAAGAGAAATGTATTTGATGGGTGGATCATCTTCGCTACCCACAGACTAAATATTTAAGGACTGCTGCACCTGTTGCAGTGGAGTGCTTACCGAGCCATATTTCGCTATATTGTACTTTTATAGTTTGTAATGTCCTAAAGCGATCAATAGCACCGTCGAAAGCCGTCAGACGAGGAGAAGTGCTTGCCCTCGTGTGACGGCACCCTCTGGTGTCTTCTTTAGTTCAGAGTTAATCAATATTTGACACTGATTTCAAGAGAAAAAATGAAAGCCGTTTACAACTCCCTGTAACACCGAATTGTAGCGTAGCTCTTGAGGAGGAGGAGGGAAGGGTACTGAGGATTACCTGATCTTGGGGCGGGGCGGCAGGGGGGGGGGGGGGTCATGTGACCTTGGGGGGTCACGTGACCCCCAGAAAATTTTTCCGCTAGATTTAGCGGGGAATTTTTTCCGCTAGATTTAGCGGGGAAATTTTTCCGCTAGGTTTAACGGGAAAAATTTTCCGCTAGACTTAGCGGGCAATTGTTTCCGCTAAATCTAGCGGGGAAATTTTTCCGCTAGATTTAGCGCGGAATCTTTTCCGCTAGATTTAGCGGGGAAATTTTTCTGCAAGATTTAGCGGGTTAATTTTTCCGCTAGATTTAGCGGGGCATTATTCCCGCTAGATTTATGGGAGAAACTTTTCCACTAAATTTAGCGGAGAAATTTTTCCGCTAGATTTAGCGGAGAAACTTTTCCGCTAGATTTAGCGGGAAAATTTTTCCGCTAGATTTAGCCGGGAATTTTTCCCACTAGATGTTTCCGCTAGATTTAGTGGGTAAATTTTTCCGCTAGATTTAACGGGGAAATTTTCCCGCTACATTTAGCAGGAAATTTTTTCCGCTAAATCTAGCGGGGAAATTTTCCCGCTAGATTTAGCGCGGAATTTTGTCCGCTAGATTTAGCGGGGAACTTTTTCTGCTAGATTTAGCGGGTTAATTTTTCCGCGAGATTTAGCGGGGCATTTTTCCCGCTAGATTTATCGGAGAAACGTTTCCGCTAAATTTAGCGGAGAAGTCTTTCCGCTAGATTGAGCGGAGAAATTTTTCCGCTAGATTTAGCGGGGAATTTTTTCCGCTAAATCTAGCGGGAAAAATTTTTCCGCTAGATTTAGCGGTGAACTTTTTCCGCTACATTTAGCGGGGAATATTTTCCGCTAGACTTAGCGGGGAAATTTTTTCGCTAGGTTTAGCGGGGAATTTTTTCCGCTAAGTCTAGCGGGGAAAATTTCTACACTATATTTAGCGGAGAAATATTTCCGCTAAATCTAGCGGGGAAATTTTTCCGCTAGATTTAGCGGGGAAATTTACCCATAATGCACCGCGCGGTTTCGCCGACGGCGACGGCGGCGGCGACGCCGACGCCGCTCAAGCCGGAAACGGGCCCCTAAGAGCTGCGCTCTAAAATCGGCTACGCAAGAAGGAAATTTTTTTTTTTTGTTATGAAGCTTAGAGCCCATTGATTGAGCCATGCTCATAAATAAGCTATCATAGAAAGTGGTTTAGTAGTCATTTAAGCAGTTTGAGCGGCTTTATCTCACGCTTGTCAAACACGTTCAATTTTTCTACAAATGGAATACAATATCCCAAAAAAGAGGAGAATAAGCACGAAAGTAGCAAGCTCCATCCTGATAAGTTGCAAAAACCCGTTTAGTGAATGTTCCGGCAAAATCACTTGAGCGAGACCACCTTTAATGGCCCGACCGCCTTAACAAAGCCGCAGCTCATCTTGGCTTATAAGAAAGCCGTTAATCGCAGGCATAAAGAAGAGTCGCGCCCAAGTGCGCGACCCTTCTTCGTCGTGAGTAGCTGGTCCAGTTGTAGGAGAAGCGCAAAAGTAAACTCACTCACGCTGAAAATGCACGCACACCAGAAAAACGGTCACTCATGTCGCACTTTCTGGCGTTCGTGCATTTTCAGCGTGAGTGAGTTTAGTTTTGCGCTTCTCCTACAATATGAATATCCAACTCGCCCAAGCATCCATTCTACGATGGTCCGGTTGATTGCGACGCAAGTTAACTTCGAATAATCTGGAAACTATGCAGCCGTATTTTCCAGCTTCGACAGCTGTAGTGTATGTCTTCTGATAAACAAATTGCTAACTCGTTGCCAATGTCAATTCTACAGATACGAACCTATCTCTCTCTCTTTGTTCTCCCTCGTATTATGATACAAGGAATACAAGGGCGCCAATGCGTGTACGCGGGGGAGTTTTCGACCAGTGGAGCGCTCGAACGCCCAGAACGGGACAGCACTCTGTGTTCGCGATGCGGCTTTCATCTTCACAACCGTGCGTGCCGATTCCGAACCACGACATGTTCCAGGTGCCATCATGTGGGACATATACATAAAGTATGCCACCCAAACAGACGTCTAGTTCCCACCCCCAAGACCGAGCGGGCAAGAGACACAGCGAAAAGACCTCCGCGAGCAAAGCTTTGGAGTGTTCGACACCTAGGAGGACGTCGGGCCTCTGCTCCAGACAACACTAAAGAAACCGGGGCACGGGATATAATATTTAAATGTTTGTTCAGGTAGTGACACACAAAATGAATCTGGACGTTGGAGCAGCAGTATCGGCGATTACCGGGTTTTTCGGTCATGTTTTGCGCAGGTGAAGCTAACACCGGCTACAGTGTTGCTTCGTACGTACACCGGGGAGTGCATGCGCCCCCCGAAAGGGTTGGCGACAGTAAATCTTGAGCATCAGAATCAGTATCGCCAGCCGTCTGCATGTTCTCTTCCAGGAGGGTCCTGCCCTATTATGAAAAGAATGGCTGTACCAGCGTCGTCTAAACTGGAGTAGATTCAACCATGTGGACGCTGAAGACCAGCGTACCCTGGTACAAGTCTTGGACAAGCATTGCCAGTTTTCAACGACAAACTCGGTGAGATTCAATGTGAGCAAGCTTAACTTCTATAAAGCCTGAACTGCACCCGAAGTTTTGCAAAGCTATAAGCATTCCGTTCGCTTTTAAAGAAGCACTAAAGAAAGAACTTGAGAAGCTTGTTGGCCTGAGGGTGGTTGAGCCAATTTTTTACAGTTGATTTGACTCAACAATCGTAGTTGTAGTCAAATAAGATGGCACCGTGCGCATCTGTGTTTACTATAAAGCATCGCTGAACTCTTGACTAAACATCATCACCTATTTCTTACCCAAGATTGAAGAAATCTTTGCCACAGAGTCGGGAGGACAAGTATTCTCAAATATTGATCTGCGTAGGGCGTACCATCAAGTGGCAATGGACAAAGTTTTCAGCGAGTACCTAACCTTTATTACGCATAAAGGACTGTTCGCAGTAACCGCCTAGCATTCGGTGTTACGTCTGCTCCTCAAATCTTAAAAAAAAAATATGGACAGCATCTTAAAAGGAGTGAATTGGGCTATATGCTTCTTAGATGATGTATTTGTCATGGTGCAGAATGAAAGGAGAGCCTTGAGAATCCTGATGAACTACAAGCCGGGTGCACGAGTGCGGATGCAGGCAAACAAATATGAGTTTTTGCAACCTGAGCCGAAGTTGTTTGGTCCCGTGGTCTGCAAGAATGGAATCACAGCAACTCCTGAGAAAATTAAATTCGTCTACAAGGCCCCCGTTCTAGTTCATAAATGCGGCTGAGAACGCTCACGGGTATGATAGCAAACAACGGAATCTTTCTACTGGAGCTGTTCACCCTAATATTTCCACTGAATCGACTGCTTTGCGAGAGCGCGCCGTGAGTGCGGAGTAATATGTGCGATCAGGCATTCAAGACAGTAAAAACGCTAGTGAAAGCGCAGGTGTTGGTAGAATATGGTCCCGACCGAAGCCCAACCTGAGGTAATGTGTGATGCTTAATCCTACGGTTTCGACGCCGTTATAGCTAGAGTGGAAAAAGATGGTATCTGACAACCAGTTGTGTTCGCTTGCTTGGCGCACGTAATTCCCAACTGAATGGAAATACATACAGCTTGAACAATAAATGCTAACCTTAATTTTCGGAATAAAGCAGTTTTATTACAACGTTTATGGCAGGGAGTTTTGCTTTGTGACAGACCGCAAGCCTCAGCAAACGATTATAGATCGAAAGATGTAAATACCAAGCACTGCCGCATTTCGCTTGTGGAGGTGGACCATTATGCTGTCTGCCTACAGTCACAATCTGGTATATTGTTCAGAAGAAAGCGATGTAGAAGCTGACTGTATGTCGCGGCTACCGAAAACTGCAAAAATGAAGATGACGACAGGATAGCAGCCTGCCATGCACTTCGCTGGGAAAGTGTTCCTGTGAC